CTCTCTCTCTCTCTCTCTCTCTCTCTCTCTCTCTCTCTCTCTCTCTCTCTCTCTCTCTCGCTTCCTCTTGCCACATGATCTGCTTGTACCCGCTGGCTGCCTGCTGCTTTCTGCCATGAGTAGAAGCAGCCTGAGGCCCGTGCCAGATACACCTGTCCCAGAATCGTACCAAATAAACCTCTTTTCTTTATGAATTACCCAGTCTCAAGTATTTCCTTCATAGCAACACAAAACGGACGAATACAATTCCTTATCCTGAAAAGCCGCTAACCTTTCATATTAATTTTAACAACTTACCTGTAGATACTTTTGATTTTATCTGTCATCAGTCATCTGCAAATAATGATAGTTTTGCTTCTTCCTTTCCAATGTTTACATCTTTTGTTTTCCTTGTCTTATCTCCCTGATGAATGTTGCATTGAAGAATTCCAATGAGCATCCTGGCCTTATTCTTAATTTTTACGGAAATGTTTATTATAGGCTTAATAAATGAACTGACAAATGAATGAGGAAATGCAGAAGTTTCTAAGTAGGAAGAGTAGAGTGTGTAAGATCTAAACAAACTTTTAGACATTAAAAAAAAAAAGGACAAGCCTAATAATGATATGTTCTCTAAACATAGCTATGTTTCCTCTAAAGATCTCTTTAAAAATTTACATAAAGAGTTGGATACTGAACACAAAGAGGGGAGATAATCCCAGTGAAGAGATAAATCTTCCTATTTTCTCAAAAGGAACTAGGACAAGGACAGTGGACTTAATAACATCATCCTTCCTTTTAAATTAAAAATGATTTACATATTGTTGATTCATAATTTGGTTCCTGCTGTTTCTTCATCTCTGTATATTAAATGACTACACAGAAGAAACCTGGATGATAAGGAAGTTTGAGTTCTCTTCCAAAAAGAGGCACAGTAACATCATGATACGACTTAAAAGAAAGGCAGAAGGCAAGCTGCTCAGTCAGGCTCAAGTATTGCAGCTTTGGAAAGTATCCAGTTCCTCCTAATTTTGGTATTCCAATGATTTTATTACTTAATCATCATGTTCTAACTACATGGAGTTTTAAGTCACATTCATTTTAAAAATAAGAAAGAGGAATATAAGATGAGCACAAAATCATGCAAGCCCAAAAGCACATGAAGCAGGCAATGCTCTGTAAAGTGGAAAATGCTAGTAATGTCTAGGCAATTGTTATAATTATTTATTTCATGGATGAATAGTTAAGATTATTCTTATCACAACAAATTTTCACTAACACAGAAAATCAAGAGCTCAATAGTACACAGTATTAGAACAATAAATTGTATGTAAGATCAAAAACAGGCACTTAGTATGACTAGCATTATATATCTGGAACAGATCATTAAGCTTCTAAGACAATCAAAAACCACTGACAAGGAGTATTATGAAGATAAAATACCTTGTTACTTTATTCATCTGGTAAATATGAACTATTCCCATACATGTTTGAGTGTCAGGACCTGAAGATTTGGCGAACAATTATAGTTTGTTGATTAACTTAAACTTTTAGCACAACTTATTCTGGTATTTAATGTAAAACCACTTCACATTTATCCAGCATTTTACATTTTACAGAGCACTTTCAAATCAGCTCTCTTCTATTAGACTGACTGAGCTAGAAGGACAGAAACCTGGAACTACTGGTAGTTATCATAGCGCCCAGTCAGGGGAGCCTGCCTGAGAATGAAAGAAACCCAGAGAAAAACAGAAATAAGAACTGGAAAAAAGAGAAACACTTCTAAAGTTATTGTGAGAGACCTGGATCCAACTTACCTGAAACAAGATATACCCCTGCACCTTTCACTTAGGAGATGCATTAAATTCCCTTTTCTGCTTAAGCCAATATAAGTTGGATTTCTACCACTTGCAACTAAGAGAGTCCTGGGTAATATAAAAGACTCAGTCACATTGCTAATTGCACCAGCCAGAATTCTTTCCACCATATCCAGCTTCCTTATAGGAATTTTGGAGTAATGAAAAAAGCCTGAGGTTGGTTTTGAATCCCAACACAATCATTTAACAACCTAAATGATCTTAGACAATACATAATGTATCTGAGCTTCAATATGAGTCCCAAGTAAGGGGATAATACCTAATTTATAAGGAATAAATTAGAGATCTTTCCTAATGTAATTAGATTGAGTCTGGCACCTAGAATTCAATAAATGGTAACAATACCCTGGCTGTCTATCCTGAAAGGGCGACTAAATGAGATAAGATATGTAAAGCATCTATCGCATTCCCTAGTGCAATGTCAAGTACTCAATAAATTTTAATTCTTCTTGAAATGAAAATGATTAGAGATTGATAAGCACATTCACCTTATATTACTAATTTTTTTCATTATAGAAAAATAACTAAAAAGAAGACTACAGAGTAACTCCAGTGGCCTTTTTAATCCCCACTTTCCCAGGAATACAGAAAAATACTAATAGAGGGAGGAAAAGGCATGTAAATGGACAGTTGGAGACATTAAATGAGCTAGGAAATTTCTAGCCTTTGCCCCAAGTAAAACCTCAACACAAATGTATGGACTGCAAGTCCTCCAAGGGAAAGGTGATCATACCTACAGAAACACAAGTAGAACCACTCGCGGCACACAACAGAAGCAAAACACTGGACTCACAGTGTCTGGAACGTATGGTAAGCCATAAAACTTCTCCTGTGTTTCCTTGAGAATATCTGTTGTGGACCTCCTCAAAGGATGCTTCCCATGGTAGATTTGATCCAGAGTGGCATAAAAGACCTAGACAGATGAAAACATGTATTTAATTTTGGAAGTCCATCCTTATATCTAAGATTTGGTAGACCAAAGATGTTATAAGTGCACCTGAACAGTAATTATAAATCACATGTATTGCTTGAGATGTATTTTGTACTGCATTTAAGACTATGTCAATGTTAAAAGGAATGCTTTCAACCTTTTCATGATTAAGGATATTAAAAAACTTTGAACCTGATCCATAAGGTACTCTTTATCTACAATGTAGCAAACTAAATTTGGGACCACACAACTGGAATTTTGCCAAAACCTACACCGTTAGAAATATGAAAAAAATAAGGAGTTACAACTCTGACCCCCTGGATCTAACAAATACTGTTTGGTTACTTCTTGGAATCCTGATATATCTTAAATGAGAGAAATGAAATGATCAGAATCCTAGTTTTATGACAAAAGGTGAAAGAACGCTAAATAGGTGAGGGGAGCATGGAGAAAGGAATAGCAATCTAGCATCTATCCAGTACAGACGTAACAGAGAATTCTTATGCAGCTGTTGGCGAATTTGCAGCTAGCCCCCACAGGATCCCCACACTTGGTGTCAGGAGGTACAAAGGAAGCAGCTGCTGTGTAGGGACAATTCTGCCTTGACTAGGTGACCAGGGAGGAAGAATCACCCACCTCTGAATAGAGAATACAGACCGCAGACACATAATAGGGACATAAAGTGTTCAAGGAAGATTGGACATGAAATCCTCTTTTTATCAAGAATTCAAAAATAAATTTTGCATAGAAAATCTAAAGATAAAGCACTTTTTTACTATAACATTGGACTTGAATATTAACATTTGATTATTTTAAAGGAAAAATTTTGACAAGCAATTATGCTTTTGATATGATTCTGATTCAGAAATGGAATTTGCAGAGAATGTGCAGCTGTTGACTTGAAAGAAGTAAGGATTAGTTTGGATTAAAAAAAAATTTAAATGACTTCTAGCTTCTGGCTTCATCTAGATATAGAATTATGGTTCTAAATTATAAAGTCAAGTTTAAACCTTCCCTAGAAAAATATAGACATTTCCTAAATATAATATTGCTTTCCTCTAACTGGTAATCTAAACATATAGCTAAATATAGCTCTTTCAATTCTTCATTCTATAATGAATAACAATGCATAAAGATTATCAGAGAAGCCAAAATTACTCCTCCCTATCTTATCTATATCCTAACAGTAAATTATTAGAAATTGATACTCTTAAATTCTAACCTCGACTGTTCTTTTGCTTCAACGTACAAACACATTAGAATTCAAGAGTTTCATTTCTTCAATTATGCTTTTTACAAATAATATAAACATGAAATGACTTTTTTTGAATTAGGAAAACAGAGCAAAATAAATTAAATGTGCATTCTTTCATGCTTATTTGCTGATAAATTAAACAATTCTAAAACGATGAGCCTATTTGCCCACCCAGGGAGCTGCGGGTGGGACCAGGAAACTTAAAGCCACAGGAAAGTAAGGAGCCTATTTTTAAAACAAATGATTAAAAAAAAAATTCACCATTTTTAAAACACTGTTTATACCCCCTTAAGAAAGCTGAAAAAAATTCACTTCCTTTCCACCAGTTTTGTCTCCACTGTACAAGTACAACATGAAAGCTGGACCCAAGGAGCTCCTTTGGCAGGAATTTCTCTGTCTCTCTCTGGGGGTAATTCTTTTTGACGGGTGGGAGAAGAGAAAGGTTGGTTTTCCATTTAAAAGAAAAAATCATTGGAACAGCTGTTCAAAAAGAAAGCCACAACACAGACTTTTAAAAGACAGGCCTTCTACTAAAGATACTAGCAAATCAAAAGACTTTTGCCAAGTAATATTAATTTTAAAAATAATTCAGAAATCCTTCTTCAATATATGAATAGATACTGAATAATGCAAATCAAATGTAAATTCATCATTTTGTCTATATTATGCATTTTCTTCACTGAAATATATTTTTTAAGGTATAACAAAATCATTCATTACTTTCTAGGGACTGAATTTTACAAAACTATAAAGCAATTAAATAGTGGTTCTGCTCTTAAGTAAGTAACTGGATCATCATGAAGTGAATATTGCCTAAGATGAAAGTCAGTGTTTAAGCTATGTTTACATAACTCTCAGGATCTGATGAAGAGTAAGAGTTCCATAAACAGTCTCAGCAATTACAAACATCTAAACATCTGGTATCATGTGGACCTGGTATCCAGATGGTTCACAAAATTTTCCTAGTCTTCATCTGGAAACCTGGGAAATTGGTTTTGAATATTATCTAAAACTAATGGCAATTACTGTTTAAACTTCACATCTAAAAACACAAGTTTAAGAAGATACTAAATGAACAAAAATATATATAATTGCGTTTGAGTCCTAACTTGGCTGCTGAAATGTATGATTTAAAGAGGTCATGTAACTTGCTCAAGCTTTGATTTTCCTGACTGAAAGTGGGAAATTACCTTATTTAACATCTACTTCATAAAGACAGTGTGAGGATTGAATGAGTCAATTTTGGTCAAGTTCTTTGAACTCAGATGAAAGATGTTTTAGAAGTTTTAGAAGCATAATTATTATAATAAATGTGCAACACTGGCAAGAATTTAAAGCTATATATTTATTTGGGATAATGACTCTGGAAAACTTGAGAACAAAGGTACATACATACCTGGAGTTGCATATCAGCTGCAGCACAAACCTTCTTGGATTCACAAAGACGAGACACCATATTTTTTGGCAGTGCCTTGACAAAATAAAAGAATATATATGTGAGTAACGTGCTTAAAAAGTCACTGCACTATGTATGGACACTTATGAGTCAGGAAATTTTAAAATAACATCAAATGAAAAAAACGAGTAATGGAATTTATAATTTAAAAATAACTTTCAAATATTTTAGTTGACAACAAAACAAGGATGAAGACAATTCCATTTAATTTCAGAAAGTGGTAACTGTCAAATAAAATGAAAATACAGGATGATAGGGAACTCCGCTATTGGCACTGATACTTAAAAATCTATTTAAAACCTCAAAGGGAATACTTTTGCTGTTCTTTTGTTGCCAACGAGTTTTCATGGTTTTATTTTCACAAAAAAGAGTATTGGTGGAAAGATGCCATTTCCTCCATAGCGAACAGGGCGAGCGCTGCCTTAGGCACGAGGGCGCCTGCAGATGCCCCGCGGCCAGCAGGGGCAGCGGCGACTGCGGCAGGGACAGCAGGGATGGCAGGGTCACCAACCGCCGCGAGGGCCGAGAAGGAAGAGCAGGGCAGGACGTTCGGAGCCGGGAGTGGAAAGGCCTAACTGAGGAGGCGACACAGGAGTGAGACCCGCGAAATGAACAGGCATTAGACAAGAAGGATGGGCGCGGGGAGAACGCGGCATTGGGAGCAGAGGAGGCAGCAGGTGCACAGGGGCAAAGGGCAGCACCGCGCAGGGCTGCGGCGGCGGGCGGGAGGGCTCAGCGAAGGCCGGTCCCCACCCTCGGACTCCACCTCCGCGGGCAGTACCGGGAATTTCAAGGACGGAAGGGGCAGGGTCGGTGACTATTCTAGGAAGGTTCCCTCGGCTGCACTGCAGGTTCTGGCTGGAGGAAGGCAGGAGCGGATCAGGAGGCCCGTCCGGAGGCTGCAGTGAGCGGCCGTGCCCAGCGCCCACCACTGCTCTGGAAGTGAGCTGACGGGTGCAGCGGGGACGGCCGCAGCATGCAAGGGAAGCAGGGGCTGGAGAAAGGCCGGTCTGAGGACAGGAAACGCTTGAGCAGGGTTAGGAAAATGCTGATGGTAAAGATCCATGTAGAGGACAAGAACTAGAGATGCAGAAGAGAAAAGAGACAGCGAATGAGAGCAGGAGGTGGGTTCGTGAGAAGGCAGGAAGGGAAGGAAGCTGTCCAGGTGACAGGGGGAAGGACAGGCCCAGGCCGAAGGACAGACGCCAGGGGGGCTGGTTGTGGGGTTCCCTCCCACTGGACAGGAGCCCTCCACAGGTCACAGAAAGTTGTCGGGAGGGAGTTGGATTCAGAGGGTTAAGGAGGTTAGACGAGGTTGTGGGGAGTGTCAGTGGACGGCGATCCACTGGAGTGGTACCGTCTGACCCGGTGTGCTTGGGCAGAGCTGAGCTGCCTCCTGCAGGCACAGATGGAGGAGACAGGGGACCAACAGCGGATGGAGAGAGGGACAAGGGCCAATGTGAAGGTGCCCTGCTGGGGTGGAGAGTGCGGACAGGGGAGGGAAAGGAGGGACAGGAGGGCTGCCCCCCACCGGGAGGGCCACAGCTGTGCCCAGGCACCTGGCAAAGGTTCCCTCTCTCTACTTAGTCAATCACCGGAAACGCCAAGCATTAGATCTAAGAGCCAAACCCAACAATTCCCTTTCCACTCTGAAGTAGCTCACTTATTTAGAGGCCAGTATCTTAAAGACTCAAACCTACACAGGAACAGCAAACCTTGCAGGACACATTTAATGAGGATTAAATCTTTCCTTTTCAGGTCGGCAATAAAATAAAAAATGTAAAGAAAAAGAGCAAAAAAGGACAAGGACATCTGAAAACACTTTATCAAAAATTATGTATTCAAAGAAACCACGTGTGCTACCATAATTACATAAAATGTTACCATTAGAGGAAACTGAGGGAAGGGAGTACAGAACCTCCCTGTAATTTTTTTTTTTTTTTGCAACTTTCTGTTAATCTATAGTTATTTCAAAATAAAAAGTTAAAAAAAAAAAACCTAAAAATTATGTATTCAAGCCCTACTATACATACCGTAATGAATACAAAGTACTGTAATGAATACAAAGAACATTTACTGAAAATATGTAAAGAAACATTCAAGTAGAAGTACAATCCTAATAGAATAGTTCAGAGGACAGAATCATTCTCCCATCAAATTACAAATGAAATAATATATATTATGTGTGATATAAATAGTAAAGTAGATGTTCCTTTTTAAAAATCTAGTTTGTTAGTCTACTGGAATTAATAAATGTATATCAGGTCTTGAAATGGAGTTGTATACTTATTCTCTTAGAAAACATTTCCTTTTTAAAACAAAAGAATAAAATTTAAAAAAACAACTTAAATACTATACAAACTGACTTTCTAGGTTATATGTAAAGTTTTTTTAAAAAAATAAACAATATATAGAAGTTAAATCTTAAACTTCCAGTTAGAAAAATGTTTTGTGGTAAGATTTTCTTCTCTAAATATTGCTTTACCAATCACTCATGATAACTAACACTGAAATAATTCAATTTTTCTTTAATTCCAAAAGTGGTGATATCTACAGAGTAGCATAAATGTTGCTTATCAACGTCTCCTAAACTCAAGACTCACATCTAATATACCGAAGAAACAGAGAATGAATACACGTAGCTGAAGGTAATGAGAGACTACATAAAGGAAAACGCATTTAAAACACCTGAACGTTGAATAACATTATAATTACTTTTATTACATTAAAATGAAAACTTATCAAAGCCTGTGTCATTAAAAACAATAATACCTCTTTCACCACATAATCAGCTACATGTTTTAACGGATTCTACTTCAATCTCCATAATTTCCAAGGTAAAAAATACTCCCACTGATCTCTAAATTTCCTACCCCAACAGTGATATATAATTTCTCATTTGTTAGGATCTTGACACTGCCATATTTATTAAAGATTTAAGAAATATTACTAGCATATTAAGAATGCTATAAATCAAGATAAAGTTCACATTAACTAATTATGGTAAAGAAGGGTACACACGAAATGTCAGAACTGGAAGGCTCTTTTGGGCCTTTCAGGCTGTTTCCAGCATCCTTACCTCCCGACCATGAAACTGGTGCTTCCCATAATCTAATTAACCCAGAAATACCATTCATTCTGTGAGCTCTTCTTCTTAGACCCGTTAGAGTAGAACTGAGAACATATTCTATTTTAAAACCAACATTTGTCTGAATTTGAAACTCCCATTACATAGTGTTTCACTGCCGCAGAAAGGAACAGCACAGGTTTGGGAGCCAGATAAAAGCTTCAGACCATGCTCCTTACCAGCTCAGTGGCGTAATGTGTAGCACCTAACAATCAAGTTCTAAATAAGGAATGCACTTCCATAGTTTCCTCTTTATATTTATTTTCATTTATAAAGTAGCCAAGTATCTCTAACCAAACACATGTGCCTCCTCAAATTACCCAGCTTTAGAAGAGGATACTTTCTCCAATCTGGTAATTAAGTTAAGGTTTTTAGAAAAAAAGCAAAATCAACGAATGTATTATTACTTTATCTTCAATATTTCAGTATCTGCCACAAAGTTGGTCTTTACCTTACTGTTTGAAAATATTTTCTCTCACCTTAAGTAGAACTGGTTATCAAACAGTGAGCCAATTCTTCATCTGCAGGCTCCAGTTCATACTTTTTAAAGATAGGCACCAACCAGAAAACATTCCCCTTCTGATGATATTTTAATCAAGTATATCTCATGCTATGGGTCTACACAGTTCAGAACTGCATAGTTTCTGATGAGAAGTCGACTATAATTCTTGTCTCTATAATGTGTCTTTTTTCTCTGGTTGCCTTCAAGCTTTTCTCTTTCTCTTCGGTTTCCAGCAGTCTAACTATGATGTATCTAAGTATATTCTTGTTATATTTATCCCACTTGGGGTTCTTGTCGCTCCCTAGATTTCTAGTTTGATTTTCATTATTTTTGGCAAAATCTCAGCTATTATTTCCTTTAAATACTTCTTCTGCCTTGTTATCTTTCCCTTCTTTCTGGAACTTGAACTACATGTATTTTATACTGTTTGACATTGTCCCGAAGTTCTTGGATGCTCTATCTTTGGGGGGTTTTCCCCCTGCTCCTTACCCCACTTCATATTTCAGCTACCATAATTTCTACTGACCTACCTTTAAGTTCGCTGACTCCTTCCTCAGCTGTATCAAGAGTATGGCTGAGCTCTTCAAAGGAACTCTTCATATGTGATATCGTGGCTTTACTTCTTGCATTTTCATTTGATGGCTTCTCCTAGTTTCCGTCTTTCCTCCCTATCTGTTCACACATGTTATCCATCTTTTCCATGATATCCTTTAACATAGTTCTTTAAATCCCTGTCTGAGAGTTACTTTAAAGTCATGTTAGTCATTAGTTATTTTAAAAACCCTGAGTCTGATTCTATTGATTGCTTTGCCTTTGAGCAGGGAGTCAGGGTTTTGTGCTGTTCCTGCAGTAGCAGCCAATCACTCTTCTAGGCCTGCAACACTGAGGAGGGCTCTGTTTTAGTCCCCTCCCTGCTCCCAACAGTTCTCATGAGTGGAGAGAAAACAGTCTACAAGTGAATGCAAACTCCCCTGTATCGGGGCCCTCAGGTATTCCATACTGATATGCCAGTCCACACTTGGCTTCCAACAATGTGTTAAAATGTTATCTGACTTCTCTTTATACCCTTGCACAACACTCAGCCTTTCTGCCCCAACTCTGCCACAGCTGAGCCAGTCTGTGTCTCCTTAGTTTCAGACAACTAGAAGACCCTGTGACCTCAGCTTTCTTATGAGCTCAAGAAAAGTTAGGATTTTATTTGCCTTTTCCTGTAGTTAGGTTGGCAGCTGAGCTCTTTCAAGCTTTCTGCATCCTAGGTGGATGAGAAAATCCCCAACAGCTCAGAATTTCATAAGTAATACTATTTGGAATTTTAGCTTCCAAAGGAGGGGGGGAGAAAAAAGCAGAAAAGTTTTATAAAGGGTGAACTACCACTTTACATCAGGA